GGGCGGTGCGCTTCCCACTCGGGGGGGAGGGGGCGTCCCCCTCCTCCTCCCCCTCCTCGCGAGGGGCTCCTTGCCCAAAGAAGGCGAGATCCGAGTCGGGGGCAGCGGGATGCAGGAGAAGGAGGAGGAGGCGCTGACTTTGAAGGGCGGCGGCAGCGAGGGGGAGGGCCCGTTTCTCGGTCTGGCTCAGCTCGAGATTCCGGAGGGGTTTGCCGAACTGCAGAAAGGTCGCCGTCGAGCTCAAAGCCACGGAAGTCGGTGACATCTTGACTTTAGTTAGACGGAGGCGGCGATGGGCGGGGGGGAGGGGGAGCAGAGGATCGGGAGGGAGGGGGCCCGCAAAGCCAGCCGGGGGGCCGGGCCCCGTGGGCCCCACGCAGGCTACGGGCCTGGACTTGACAGCACATAACACACAGAGAGAAGAAAAACAATCAAACAAAAGTCTAGGAAAAGAAGTATATTTTCACCAGGTGCTGAAAGCTCAGAGTATTTAGAGCCAGAAGAACAGCTGAGGAGAGGGCCTTATGCCCCAACTGAGATGGCTGTGCTTCTAGAAGCAACCTGCCTTACCTCAGACATAGCAAAAGGGTAGACCAGAATCTCTGATAAAGATTGAAAGAGACAAGAATGTTTGGGTGCACCTTTAAGTTGGCCGTAATAATATGACTTGGATGTGAGTCTTATGCCAATCAGTGGAACTAATTTCCAAATAATAGGTTCAGGATCAAGGTGTTCAAAACCATCGGAACAAGCAGAATTTTCCATCTCAGATTTTTTGGGGGTTTTTTTGTGGCTTTGGGTTTTTTACTTCAATCTGAATTTATTGCACCATGGGATACTAGGCTCAACCCAGAGATATTGCGCAAGGAATTAAAGTGGCGACCTGAAAATACTCTGGTAATATCAGGTCAATGGTTTTCCTTGGCCTACATCCCAGTTTCATTGTATTTTTACCCCATTTTTAAAAATGTCTACAGAATAGGGATGTATGCTGTTTTGGGCCCCCATTGGGGAGAAAGGTGAGGGTACAAATTAATGAATTAAATAAATAAATGTCAGGTGAGTAAAGAAATCTTGGCTATTTAAGAATTGTGATTGTAACTTACTATTAATGAAACAATATATCTGGAGAAAAAGCATACTTTATTTTTAGATTATGCATGCATGAGTTGCAGCAGCTGTCCCAAAAGAGGCATTTTCTTGTGTGTGGGAACCAAAGAGGGATGCCCCTCCTAAGATTATGTTTGCTACTTGTGGCTTCTGGAAGTGTTTACACCTAAACTGCTTTCATTTTTTAAATAAAATCTCCTGCCTGGTTAATTGAGGAGGCATCTCTTTAATGAATCAAAAAGTCAGTAATAACTGATTGTTACAATCTTAATATAGTTCCAGTGTCTATGCAGGGCTTCGAGGGGGGACGCACAATCTCCTCTCTAACTGCAAACCAACAATGCAAAACAAGCAATTATTAGATTTTATTATAACCCAAAGTTTATTGATGAAAACTCTCATAGTAAAAAACCTAATGTTGTAGATCATGTTCATTCAGTGCAGCTTAGCATTATAAAAATATGATGGATTAGTTTCAGTCACAATCATACACGTAAGTTCTTAACAAAAGAACGTGTCAATGCATTCTTCAGTGGTGGTCTGGTGTGTAACTTCTCTTGGGCATCACTGACTCTTCCCAAGCAGCTGTCCGGCATGTTCTGTTTAATCCTTTGAAGAAAGCTGAAAACTTCTGCCTATGCAGAGGATAGGGATTCAGATCACCCTTCACACACTTTTTTCCAAACTACTTGGAGCTGCAGTTTTGATTTTGCGATCCTGTGCACACTTACCCAGGAGTAAGCCACACTGAACACAGTGGGGCTTATTCCTGAGTAAGCATGTGCAGTGGCTGGCTACTGAAGGATTTTACTTTGCTTCAGCATGATAGAATGGATCTCCCTTCCCACCTTAAGCATGTTGACATAGAAATAAATCCCTTTGACTCGAATATGATTTCCTTTTCTGTTGCTGTTTTGGATTTTATACAATGGGGACAGGGGAGAGATTGGCAACCAAGACATACTTTGGAAGTGGTCTCCTGGACAGTAATTAGGACCATTTGCTCAGAGAAGGGACCAGGGGGGGTGCAGGGCTTAATTCCCTTCCTTTCTCTTTAAAGTCCCGAGGGCACCAATGATTTATAGGACATCATTAACTAGTCCTCCTTTAACTCTGGGCAAGGTAGAGGTCTAGTCAAGAATGACTTATTTCATCTCTCTCTTTCTCCAGTGTCCATATGGTCAAACGAATGTTAAAGATCCGTCCAAAAAGAAGCGGTTCAATTCCTTCTTCTATGCTTGACGATCGAAAGCTTTTGCATCATACCATGAAGAAAGAAACGATCAGCCATCACCCTCACTCCCCCCTCCCTTTTTTCTGCCCCCTATTGCTTCCCCATTTTGCATATTGGCGTTCCTTTGACCTCTGCTGTTCCGTATCCTGAATATTTTCCAATTGTAATTAAAAAAAATCCATGTGTGTGCCAGTGATGCTGAGCCATTGACAAGGCTTTCCCTTTCTCTCCCACTATAAGCTATAAAGAGATGGTTGCTTCATTTTCCAGAGTCATTAGAGGAAAGGGGGGAAACCAGCAGTTCTAGGGATAGCTTTGTTTCGCTTAACTGTGCAATGGTATACTTTGAGAACCACATCAAGGGCTTGTTTTATCAATCCTCAAAGAAATCAACCCTGACTGTTCCCTGGAAGGCCAGATAATGAAACTGAAGCTCAAATACTTTGGCCACCAAATGAGAAGGGAGCACTCACTGGAAAAGACCCTGATGCTGGGAAAGATTGAAGGTCAAAGAAGACGGGGACGGCAAAGGATGAGATGGTTAGACAGTGTCAGCGATGCAACGAACATGAAATTGAGCCAACTTCGGAGGACGGCGGAAGACAGGAGAGCCTGGCGGGAGATTGTCCATGGGGTCGCGAAGAGTCGGACTCGACTGTGCGACTGAACAACAAATAAGCAAGAGGAGATCTTGAGAGATGGATTCTCTTTTAGCACAAGTTTGCAAGAAGCATTCCAGTCAGTGGTTGGATTTAACGCTTCGACCTTCAACTCTCTAGATCCCAGATCCTAAATATATTTGCAGCTTGTTCCTGAGCATATTTACTTGGAAGCAAGTACCACTAGAATCACTGGTACTTACTCTCAAGCAACCATGAATAGGGTTGCAGCCTTAGGACTGGCTTATACCTTTATACCTCACAATATTGATGTATTCGATGAGTAGCAGCTAGATGTGACTGTATTGAAAAACATGGTCACTAAGGTGATATGAAAGTTTTATCTGTGATAGTATAGCTGAGGTGGTCTATTCACACATGCAGCTATCAAGAGAGGAACATACATGTGTGAACCAGCCACTGATGACTGACAGCTGAATGTCGGAGCTGACTCTTCCATTTTGTTTAAAGTTCTGACCGTTGTGCTGGATCTGTGATACCCCATTCATACATGCAAGGCACTACATGAGGCTTCAATGATCGAGTGAGAAGCATGCATGTGTGAACTGACCCTCTTTTAAGCCTGCATTCTTGCATTGAAGCCAAAGCACATTGCTTGTTATGAGCTATCTTAAATAGCTCATAAATAAATTGGCTATCTGGATGGAAATAAACATCCAGCAACACTTGTATGGGATGGGCATTCCTTTGAAATCAATGGGATGTGTTTCCAATTCACCATTCTTGTGATCAGGGTATAAATTGCACTTTGGCTTAGCAAAATCATGGAATAGGCCCAGTCATGAGTTTAGAGGCCTTGGATAGTAAAATGCAATGGAGGCCGTGGATATATGTGCAATGTCCAAGTCAAGCCAATCAGCTAAAAATAAGTGGTGCCCAACAAAGGCCTGTTACATCAATGCTGATCAGAACTGCAGTTCTACATGTCTTTCTCCAAACAGAAGCTTAAATTCTCTCTGCACTTAACTGAGGAGCAAGCCCCATTGAACACAGTGGGGCTTACTGCCCTCTAACCTTTCCTAGGATCAGGCCGCCCACCTGGGCTATCAGGAGGGGGAAGGCTGTGGCACATCAAGCGTCAGTTGGGGGTGCCAGTTTTTAGGACTTCTCTGTGTTAAAATTGAGCTCAATGGACTTGGGAGGATGGAACTCTGATTAGGATTGCACTGCTAAAACAGCAGCGAAAAGTCCTAGATGATAAAGAAGAAAGGTTCTCCTTCTGCCTACTCCCTGATATACTGTGAATGTCTCGCAGAGGCTATTTTGTATCAAAGAGCATTTGACAGTGTGAGTCAAAGCACATTGCGTGTTATGAGCTATTGCTTGTTATGAGCTATCTGTTGTACCATCTCGAGCTTCTGTGATTCCATACCTGTGGTAGACAAAGCCTCAGTTGGGATTGGGTCTCCCCTAAGCAAGTCTACTCAGGATTCTACTGAGGTCTATACAGTTGGGCTTACTCCCAGGAAAGTGTTCTTTGTGTGACACTGTAAGTTAATAGGCTGCTCTTTGGGGGCTGGTTAGCAAATTCTATGCACACACAAAACACAAGATAGGAATATTAATGAGCACCCAGGAGGTATTTCAAGAGCTTGGGAGCAAACAAGTTCAGTTTTTCCTGTGCTTCAAGATGTCCTCACTCAAACTGCATCCAACAGGACTGGGAGTAATTTCGTTGATCAAGCAAGAGTGGTTTCCTCTTTCCAACTGTTATGCTTGATCAGTACCAGGGTGCTGTGTGTTTGCAACCATAAACCAAATAAAGGGAAGTGCTTGAGTGTAAACTGACTGCTATTTCATTGCAAAGGTGTAGCTGTGTTACCCTGTCCGACCAAAATAAAGGAAAAGTCCAGTGGCATCTTAAGAGGAAGAAGAGTAGGGTTTTATACTCCACTTTTTTCTACCCTAAGAAGTCTCAAAGTGGCCTACAATTGCCTTGCCTTCCTTTCCCCACAACAGTCCTCTTGTGAGGTAAGTGGGGCTGAGAGAGTTCTGAGAGAACTGTGACTGGCCCAAGGTCACCCAGCAGGCTTCATTTGGAGGAGTGGTTCTCCAGATGAGAGTCACTCTTAACCACTGCACTATGCTGCTGTAGTTTAAATACCATTGAAATAAATATTGTTAGGTCTTTAAGGTGCCACTGGCCTTTTATTTTGCTGTTTCATTGTTGTGGAGAACAAATCCTACTGGACTCAGGAGACAACCTCAGGGGGAGGTCTCAGCCTCTGTTGTTTGCCCTTCAGGGTAACTCGTTGGTCACTGTGTGAGACAGAATGCTAGACTAGATGGACCACTGGTCTGATCCAGCAGGGCTCTTCTTATGTTAAGTCAGGTTAGGAATGCAGCCTTTCTTACTCACTGGCAATGCCTGTCCTGCTAAAATGCAGTTGAGGTAACTGGGAATTAATTTCAATTGGACAAATTCAGAATGGGGATTGTGAGGACAGAAAGTCTGACTCAGCTAGGGATAGTGCTCTCTGTCAGTCTTCAAAGGACTCGGCCAGGTCTTATGCAAATAGTCGCAAAAGGCAGAGAGACACCAGTGCCCCTTGAACTCACTGGGGCTTGACTATGAATGAACATGCTTTGGATCCCACAGAAAAGATAGGGTCAGTTCTTAATAGGATAAAAAGGGGCTAAAATCTGTTGCAAGAGTGGAGGTGTGTGGGTTTTTTTCTTTGTTGCCCTAATGCGGGGGCACATGCACACAGTTCCAGTTGTGAGACGCGGCCTTACTCCACTGACTGTTCGCACCTCACTGGTGCCCGATCCCATTTTCATTTACTCAGAAATCAGTCCCTCAAATTTAAATGGGGGCACCTCAAATCCTTTGAGACTCTAAAAGAAGGCCTTATTGTGGAACGCTCTGGTTTCGGTGAAGGCGGCTGGCTCCTCCGACTGGCAAGCCCCGCGGGGTTCTACCACCAGGGGAGGGGACCTAATCCCAAGTGGAGGCGCTCTCGGGGCTTCAGTCTGAGACTTCGGCGCGTGGATTCACTGGGACAGGAGGCCTCTCCCATGATTGGCGTCCAAGGAAAGACGGCTGCCGGGGAGCTGCACCGGGCTTTCTTTCGCGCTCCCGGCCGGTCAGAGGCCCAGCCCGGGGCCGCGCCGCGCTGCCGCCGGGTTACTTTTGTTTGTTTTGTTTTCTTTTTCAGATGTTTCTTCCGCCCTCCCCAAAGCGGCCCGGGAAGGGATGCCGGGCGGGCCGGCTCGGATCCAAGTGAAGAGGGATCCCAGCTGATCCGGGAGGCGCCAGCGCCCAGCCCAGCAGCCGGGCCCCGCAGCCAGCCCCCGGGGGTCCCCCAGACATCGCGGGGGGGGGGGAGCTGGCGCAGCGGGGGTGGCGGCGTTCCCACGGCGGCCCGTCGTGTCCTTTGGAGGGCCCCCCCCGGGGAACAGAAAGGGCGAGGCGCCGGGCGGGCTCTCTTTCTGGGGAAGGTCGGGACTGAGGCGCCAGCCTGAGCCGAGTACACGCAGGCTGTAGGGGCACTCCCAAGGGACGGCCAGGAGCCACGCTGGACTCGCTCCTGAGTGGAGGGGCGCCGCTCGGCCTTGGGGGACCAAGCAGTTCGCACGCAACCGGAGCAGATCCCAGCCGTTCCTCCCAAGCCCCTTCCTCTCTCTCCACTCCACCCCGGGGAGGATCCCGCGTCCTCGCCTCCCACGATCGCTGGTGGCTCTCCTCCCAGGAGAGCTCGACCCATGGCATTTCCGCGGCTTCCAGGAACAAGGACCTCAGACCCGGCCGATCTGGAAGCCGCAGCAGGTGGCTTATGAGGAGCCAGGCCAGGCTTCCTCTCCCTCCTGGCAATTAAGCGGAGCCCAGAGGGTCCGGGGTGGGTGGGTGGATGGGAAAGGGATTCTTTATCCTGTCATTAGTGGTAGTGAGTCAAGGAGGAGCGCTTTTAAAATCCCATTGATTTCAAAGGGAAAGCGACGTCTGAACTCAAACTTCCACCTCCGGTGGGTGTAGAGGGTGCAGAGAAGTCCCTTACCACGCACATTTGTCGGCCTTACTTCTCTTCTCCACAATCCCCGGTCATTATGAGACCAATTTTATAACCAGGGAAACTGAGGCCCGGTGATAAGTGGGTTGCTCAAGGCTGCCTGGAAAGCCCAGGTCACAATTTGGAATGAAATTAAATCTCCCACCGACTGCCTCGGGGTCAGGAACAGGTGGGCGCGCGTGCCAGCGTGTTCAGGGCCCTTGACCCCGCACTTTGGGGGTTAATCGGCTGGTTCAAGCAGTGACAGAAAACAGCTCCACTGAAATCGGTGGGCTTTAGGCGGGATTCAAATGCACACGTCTGATAAATATATCGACTATCCCTCACCTCCAGGAGCGTGGATGTTCGCGTCTAATTCAGACAGAAAGTCCCCCATTATCACCTGATGACACGCCATCCACTGGATGTCTGCACCACCAAGGGATGACTGTCAAGAGCGAAGCTGTGGAGAAGCAGGAAAGTTCTTTTTGAGGTGTTCGGGCAATTCAGCTCTTGACATTCATCGCTTGGCGGTGCAGATATCCAGCGCCTGGCCCGTCTG